CTTACATGATTCATGGGAGAGATAGTTCTACGTGTTGGTACTGGGCTAGAAACATATATCTCATTTTTCAAATAATAACTCAGTCTTTTACTGTGTTCTTTCTTCACTGTCATCATATATAAGTTATCTGTAACTCATTCTATCAGGGTATTCAAACTGTGTTGAGATTGAACCAGTGAATTCCACTGATTCCTTTCTTTGTCTGGTAAATGACTTATTTGGCTGGAATTAATATAGAGTCAGATGCACTGATGGTATACATAATAGATGGGGCAGACTCATGAAGGCCAGAGAAACCAATTTCTAACTTATATTAAGTCATTATTATTATTATTATTATTATTATTATTATTTTGAAAACACTCCATTTTATTTCATAGTTCATTTCAAGCTTTTATGAAATTTCTGGTAGTTAACGTATAGTGTAATATTACTTTCAGGAGTAGAATTTAGTGATTCATCACTTACATATAACATCCAGTGCTCATCAAAAGAAGTGCCCTTTTTAATGCCCATAACCCATTTAGCCCACCTTCCCTCCAGCAACCCTCAGTCTATTCTCTGTAGTTATAAATCTGTTTTATGTTTTGCCACTCTCTCTTTTTTTTCCTCTCCTACATTCAGCCTTTTTGTTTTGTAAATCCCACATTTGAGTGAAATCATATGGCATTTTTCTTTCCCTGACTTAACTTAGCATAATACATCCTACCTCCATCCATGTCTTGCAAATGGCAAGATTTTATTTTTTAATGGCTTAGTAATATTCCTTTGTATGTAAATATCACTTCTTTATCCATTTATCAGTCAATGGACATTTGGACTCTTTCCATAATTTGACTATTGTTGATAAATAATTTGGCTATTATTTCTATAAACATCAGGTTCACATATACCTTCAAGTCAGTATTTTTGTATCCTTTGGATAAATACCTAGTAGTGCAGTTTCTAGATTTTAACATAGTTCTATTTTTAACTTTAAAGGGACCTCCATACTGTTTTCCAGAGTGGCTGCATCAGTTTACACTCTCACCAACATTATAAGAGGTTCTCCTTTTTTCCCCATCCTCGCTAACACCTGTTGTTTCCTGTGTTGTTAATTTTAGACATTCTGACAGGTGTATGGTGATAGCTCATTGTAGTTTTGATTTGTATTTCCCTGACGATGAGCACTGTTGAGCATCTTTTCATGTGTTTGTTAGCCATCTGGATGTCTTCTTTGGAAAAGTGTCTATTCATGTCTTCTACCCATTTCTTAACTGGATTATTTGTTTTTTGGGTGCTGAGTTTGGTAATTTCTTTTTTTTATTTTTTTATGTTTATTTATTTTTGAGAGAGAGGGAAAGTCAGAGTGTGAACAGGGGAAGGGCAGAGAGAGAGGAGGACACAGAATCTAAAGCAGGCTCCAGGCTCTGAGCTGTCAGCACAGAGCCCGATGCGGGACTCAAACTCACGAACTGTGAGATCATGTCCTGAGCCGAAGTCAGACACTCAGCTGACTGAGCCACCCAGGCACCCCTGGTAAGTTCTTTATAGATGGTGGATACTAACACTTTATTTAATATGTTATTTGCAAATATCTTCTCCCATTCCTTTAGTTGCCTTTTAGTTTTGTTGATTGTTTCCTTCACCATGCAAAAGCTTTTTATCTTGATGAGGTCCCAATAGTTCATTTTTGCTTTTTTTCCCTTGCCTCTGGAGACATGTCAAGTAAGAAGTTGCTATAGCCTAGGACAAAGAGGTTGCTGCCTGTTTTCTCCTGTAAAACTTCCATGTTTTTCTGTCTCACATTTAGGTCTTTCATCCAGTTTGAACTTATCTTTGTGTCTGGTGTAAGAAAGTAGTCCAGTTTCATTCTTCTGTATGTAGCTGTCTAGGTTTCACAGCACCATTTGTTGAAGAGACCTTCTTTTTTCCATTGAATATTCTTTCCTACTTTGTCAAAGGTTAGTTGATCATATAGTTGTGGGTCCATCTATTCATTTTCTATTCTGTTCCATTGATTTATGTATCTATTTTTTCTGTAGTCTTGGTGACCATAGTTCTGTAGTACAGCTTGAAGTCTGGAATCGTTATGCCTCCAGCTTTGTTTTCTTTTTCAAGATTGCTTTGACTAAACAGGATCTTTTGTGGTTCCATACAAATAATAGGATTGTGTGTTCTAGCTCTGTGAAGAATGCTAGTGGTATTTTGATAGGGATTGCATTAAATATGTATATTGGTTTGGGTAGTATAAGCATTTTAACAATATTTTTCCTTCCAATCTATGATGATGGAATGTTTTTCCATGTCTTTGTGTCATCTTCAATTTCATTAGTGTTATATACAGTTCAGGCTACAAATATTTTATGTCTTAGGTTAGGTTTATTTCTAGGTATCTTCTGATTTTTGGTGCAGTTGTAAATGAGATCAATACCTTGATTTTTCTTTCTGCGGCTTCATTTTTTGGTGTATAGAAATGCAGCAGATTTCTGTATATTGATTTTGTATCCTGCAACTTTACTGAATTCATGTATCAGTTCTAACATTTTTTTGGTGGAGTCTTTGGGGTTTTCCATGTAGAGTATCATGTTGTCTGTGAATAGTAAATGTTTGACTTCTTCCTTATGATTTGGATGCCTTTATTTCTTTTTATTATCTGCTGAAGCTAGGACTTCCAGTACTACGTTAAATAACAATGATGACACTGCACATCCCTGTCTTGTTGCTGACTGTAGCAGAAAATCTTTCAGTTTTTGCCCATTGAGGATGATATTAGCTGTGGGTATTTCATATATGGATTTTATGATGTTGAGGTATGTTCCCTCTATCCCTACTTTGTTGAGAGTTTTTATCAAGAAATGATGCTGTACTTTGTCAAGTGCTTTTTCTGCATGTTTTGAGAGGATCATATGGTTCTTATCCTTTCTTTTATTAATGTGGTGTAGCGCATTGATTGATTTGCGAATACTGAACCACCCTTGCAACCCAGGAATAAATCTCACTTGATCATGTGAATGGTTCTTTTAATGTACTGTTGGACCTCATTTGTTATTATCTTGTTGACAATTTTTGCATCCATTTTTATCAGGGATGTTGGCCTGTAATTCCTGTGTGTGTGTGTGTGTGTGTGTGTGTGTGTGTGTGTGTGTAGTCTATGTCTGGTTTTGGAATGAAGGTAATGCTAGCCTCATAGAATGAGTTTGGTAGTTTTTCTTCCATTTCTATTTTTTTTTTTTGGAACAGTTTGATAAGAATATGGTTTAACTTTTAAAATGTTTGGTAGAATTCCCCTGTGGAACCATCTGGCCCTGGACTTTTGTTGGGACATTTTTGATTACTGATTCAATTTTTTTGCTGGTTATTGGCCTATTCAAGATTTGTATTTCTTCCTGTTTCAATTTTGGTAGTTTATATGTTTCTAGGAATTTGCCCATTTCTTTCAGGTTGTCTAATATGTAGGCGTATAATTTTTCATAATACTCTCTTATAATTGAAGGCACCTGGATGGCTCAGTTGGCTAAGCATCCAATTCTTGATTCCAGTGCAAGTCTTGATATTATAGTTCATGGGATTGAGTCCCATGTCAGGCTCTGTGCTATCTATATATTGGGATTCTCTCTCTCTCTCCCTTTCTCTCTGTCCCTCCACCACTCACGTGCTCTTTCTCTCCCTCAAAAAAAAAAAAAAAAAAAAACAAACAACTTAAAAAGAGACATAAAGGATACAAATAAATAAAATCATGAATGAGAGGAGAGATCACAACCAATACCACAGAAATACAAACTATTAAAAGAGAATATTTTTAAAATATTTATTTATTTATTTAAAGAGAGGAAAAGAGAGAGAGAATATGTGAGAGAATGGGGGAGGGGCAGAGAGAGAGGAGAGAGAGAATTCGAAGTAGACTCTGCACTGTCAATGAAGAGGTGGATGTGGGACTCAAACTCATGAAACGTGATATCATGAGTCAAGAGTTGGATGCTTTGGGGCACCTGGGTGGCTCAGTCGGTTAAGCAGCCGACTTCGGCTCAGGTCATGATCTCGCGGTCCGTGAGTTCGAGCCCCGCGTCGGGCTCTGTGCTGACAGCTCCGCGCCTGGAGCCTGTTTCAGATTCTGTGTCTCCCTCTCTCTCTGCCCCTCCCCTGTTCATGCTCTGTCTCTCTCTGTCTCAAAAATAAATAAACGTTAAAAAAAAAAGATTTTAAAAAGGAGTTGGATGCTTAACCAACAGAGCCACCTAGGTGTCACTCTCTTCTTTTTCATAAGTTGGATGGGGTTTGTTTCTGTATCATTTATTTCTGCTTTTATCTGAATTATTTCCCTTCTTTTGCTGACTTTAGGCCTCATTTGTTGTTCTATTTCTTTCTCCTTTTAGTGTAAGTTTAAGTGGTGTGTTTGAGATTGTTTTTTCTTCCTGAGGTAGACTTGTACTGCTATATACTTCCCTCTTAGGACTACTTTTGCTGCATCCAAAGGTTTTAGACCTTCTTGTTTTCATTTTCATTTATTTCCATGTATTTTTTTAAATTTCTTCTTTAACTTCCTGATTGACCCATTTATTTTTTAGTAAGGTTTTCTTTAACTTCTATGTATTTGTGATCTTTCCAATTTTTTTCTTGTGGTTGATTTCAACTTTCATAGTATTGTGCTCAGAAAATATACATGATATGATCTCAATCTTTTTGTACTTGTTGAGGCCTTTAAGTCATTAGTTTGTAAGACTGAATTGCTGGCCAAAACATGATGTGATGGTACTAAAGTTATTTGTCCCCAGAAAGCAAGAAATGGGGTTGGTTGCTGTTTTAAGAGAATTGAGGGCTCAAAATGGAGGTCTTGATTAGGGAATGTCTGTACTTCCCAGACTATGAATGACCCTCAGTCTTACCCCATTCCTTCTTTGTGTATGAGCGCAGTAAACAACACACTGTCATACTGTGTTGTAGAGAGAAGATAGACAACTGACATCTACAGAGTGGTCATTCTACCTAACTTATTATGAAGAACATATTTTTCAGTAAAATACTTTAGAAGAGCATTTTTTATAGATTTGAATATTTTCATCTGTTGGGTCTATACTGAAATGTGAATCATATGCCTTCCTCTGATATACTTCTTCCAATCCACAATCTTCTCCTTTGCATCTAGCCAGCCCTTTAGCCACTGATGAAAAAAAATAACAGTTAGGTGTATTGTATATTGCATCTTCTACTTCATATCCACTCTTCCTCGTTTGACTATCCTGCAGAGACATTTATAAATTGGTTTTGAATGCTTTCCTATTTATTGAGATATAATTTACATATAGCGTTATGTAAGTTTGATCAAATAAAAAATAGCATGCATCCTGATACCATAGGTAAAAGATAATATCAGTATGGGCCTATATTGGAAAATTCTGTGCATGTCAGTTTTGATTGATGAAAGATTATTATTGTCTTAATATATGTTTTTTTTTTTTTTTGTTAGCCTCTCTCAGAAACATCCTCTTGTTTTCTCTACCTTGCTCTATTATGCTGGAGGTGACAGCTACAGGCTCCCCTTCTTGGACTATATAACACTTTGTCTTCTTGGATTTGGTCATTGGAAGAGATAGGGAGGAAATCAGAGGAGAGTGAAAAGAGGTCATGAATTTTATAATCCCCTTTGTTTACCTACCCCAATACAATTCTGGCAGTTACTGCATTCCACTAGAGTTACCTCTCCTGTTTGGAAGTCTTTTCCATAGCACCACCTTTCAACTGGGTTCTTGTAACTATTGTCTTTTCCCTTGCCATTCAAAGGCCCCACTATTGCATCTCTCTGCTCCTTGTTACTTTCCTTGTCCCTGATCACACCTTTGCAAATCTTTGCTAAGTTAAATTATCTTTGCCACCCCATTAAATCTGCTGCATCAGTTTTTTTTTAGTATGCATTATGTTTTATGCTAATATATTGACTAATATATTGGCTCTGCCAACATTTGTCACTGAGCATCTAGTTTGTGAATAGAAGTCACCCCAGAAGATGTCTATCACATTGTAACCTTTGATTAGAAGAATTAGCATTGGAAAAACATGTGATATGTCAAATATTTGCAATGTACTTCAAATATTTCTTTAATAATGTTTTTAATACTATTATAATTTAGTGACTACTATATTAACAGAGTGACAAATCATTAATATAGTATAGTCAAGTCCATATCACTTGTCATTCTTAATTATAATGTGATGTTTTCCCTTCAGTTGTGAGAACAAGTCTTCCTTATATAAACATAGTGCACATATGGCAATGCTAATAAATGAGCAATCACAGCATACTAAAGCATTAGGAATGCATTTACTTGCTCGCAAACATGTGTTCTGTATAATGACATTGGCATATTCTATAAATTTAGTAGAAGTCCTGCCAAATTTTAAGCAATATGGAAGAGTAGCATAATTATGATGAAAAGAATGTTAAGGATGGTCACAGCAGTATCTAAGAATACTAGTATTGGTACTAAAAAGTAGGAGAATTAGATGGGGGAGGGGACAGAGGAGTGAAAGGATAAAAAACCATAGCTAACATTTACAAAGACTAACAAAGTTCCTGACAATGTGCAAAGTGCCCTACATTTCTAATCTCATTTAATAATGACAACAAAGCTAAGATGTAGGCACAGTTGTTACACTCATAACATGAAGATACTGAGGATCAGAGGAAAATAGGAGAAAACTGAAATGAAAAACCTTAAGGACAGTGGGGATAGACTACTTGTTATCTAGCCTTTAATGTTGGAGCCACAGTCTTGTGCTTATCACAAATAGAGTTGTAATTGACCTGTCATTTCATCTGTTTCAAATTCAAATATTCTACTGTATGTCGTCTTCTATATTTTTAACTACTTTTGCTAATTTACCAACTAGATTGCAATAAGGTGTACCACCTATTGACCCTAACAAATTTTCACCGTCCAGTCACCTCATTTATGCATTATTTACTTGCTCAGCTGGGTTATATTGTACAGTTTATAGTTCATAATTATAATTACTCCCATGCATATATCTTCAATTCATTTTTATAATAGATAAACTATGCTTCTTTTTAAATAAGGATTCTGGATTTAATTTTGGATCCTAGGTATCTTGAAATTTATTTTTTTGCAATAAATTCAATGTGTAGTGAAGTGAATCCAGGTAGATGGCTCTAAACTATAGCTCAGATTGGGAAAATTTATGGAATGATATCAATTCCATTACCAAAGCATGGAAAAAAATCAGAAAAAATGGGGTAAATAGGAGAATGCTTGGGATTCTACACTTTGGATAAGCTTCCAGGTAATGATGGTGCTGATCTGAAGACCACAGTGTTAATAGGAAGGGACTGTTGAATGTTCTGGGGCAGGAGGGCGGGGGTTGTCTTTAAAAGAAGGAAAAGATAGGTTGGTAGTTGGGGAAAATGGCAAGCTGGAGGGAAGGTTTTTGTTGTTGTTATTAAGATGAAAAACACATCAGCACACTGGTACTTTGGTGGGAAGGAATTAATGGTGAGAGAAAAGTGGAAGATTCAAAAGGAAGAGAATAGTAAAGGAATCACAGGTGGCTTAGGGCCTAAAACCTAGAAGAAATACAGAACATAAATGTAAAGACTGGCCCTGGACTTTAAAAAGGCTTAGGGCCTAAAACCTAGAAGAAATACAGAACATAAATGTAAAGACTGGCCCTGGACTTTAAAAAGGGCCAACATCTTCTCTTCTGAGACTCTTCTGAAGATTGGAATAAGTATCCAACTATGTTTTTGCTGACTTCATTTCTGGCAGGTTTTCAAGGAACTATCCTTTAAATTTCATTTTCCCCTCCTCCTCCTTTTTCAGTGCCTCTCCTCTGTTCAGTGCCTCCTAAAATCTGTTCTAAATCTGTCCCCTGGTCCTGTGTGGGTTGGGTTGGGTTTGTTTGCTTTGCTTTGTTTTTTTTTTTTTTTTTCAAACCACCTTTGGATTTCATTCTTGCATTTTTTTCTCTGTTTCAACTCTTGCCAAAGAACTAATCCTTACCTCTTGCATTACATGAAGCAAAGTGTGCTTCCTTCAAAAAGTCCAATCTGTCCTTTGTTTATTCACCTGGCAAAAATAAAGAAAAGATAGCTAAACTACTAAACTATGCACTAAATACAGATTATCTCTCAATGTCTCCTACTCCAAAACTGTACCTAAGATCTCAGTGTTAATCCCATCACTTGGATCTCAACACCTTTTACATACCCAAGATATCACTCTTAAAATTGTGTACTGCTTCTCACACATGATCCATCTTTAAATAATCTTTTGAGTTATAATTGCATGTGGTAGAATGTATTTATTGTAATTGTACAGCTTGGTAAGTTTTGGCAAAGGTATATTCTTTGGAACCATCACCACAGTGAAGAACTAGAATCATTCTATCATCCCAAAAATGTTTCCCCATAGTCCTCTAGTAAATTCCCCCAATTCTGGTCCTAGACTAATCCCTGATGTGCTTTCTGTTACCATGGATTACTTTTGCTTGCTCTTGAATTTCCAAAAACAAGTGGCAACATACAGTATGCATTCTGTTTATGCATGATTTCATTCCTTTCAGTTATGTTTTTGAGTTGTACCTGTGTTTTATTTATCTGTAGTTTATGTCATTTCAGTGACATAATGAATTGCATTATATGGCTATTTCACAATTTAATTACCCATTTATGTGTTGACAGACACTTGGGTTGTTTACTATTAGCTATTGAGAATGAAGTTTCTATGGGCATTCTTATACACATCTCCCTGTTGTTACATGTTTTTATGTTTCTTACATAGATACTAAGGAAAGGGTATTTAGGGTTGTATAGTAAGTGCATTTGTGACTTTATAAGAAACTCCAAATTGTATTCTAAGTTGGATGTGACATTTTGCATTCCTACTAGCGATGTGTGAAGATTCCAGTTGCTTTACAACCATGCTAAAACTTGTTATTGTCAGGCTTTTCAAATTGTAGTCAATCTAGTTGATGTATAGTGCTATTTGATTGTAGTTTCAACTTGCATTTTTCTGCTGTTATTATCTTTTTATGTGCTCATTGGTCAAATGCATATCTTCTTTCATGATGTTCTCTTCAAATATTTGGCTCACTTTTAAGAATTGTCTTCTTTCTATTGAGTTATAAGACTTCTTTATATATTTAATATGAGGACTTTTATATATATTTTTCTTCCATTGTCTTGCCTGCCTTTTCATTGTCTAAATGGTATCATTTGAAGAGCACTTTTAGTTTTAATGAAATCCAATTTATGTTTTTTTTTTTCGTTTATACATTATTTTTTGTCCTAAGAAATTTTCACCTGCCCCAAAATTGCAAAGACTTTTTCTCTCTAGAAGTTTCCCTTTAAGGGGTGCCTGAGTGTCTCAGTTAAGCATCCAACTTCGGCTCAGGTCATGATACATGGTTCATTTGTTCATCATGATCTCACAGTTTGTGAGCCAGAGTCCCGCGTCGGGCTCCATGCTGACAACTCAGAGCCTGGAGCCTGTTTCAGATTCTGTGTCTCCCTCTCTCTTTGCCCTTCTCTCTCTCTCTCTCTCTCTCTCTCTCTCCAAGATAAATAACCATTAAAAAATTAAAGTTTCCCTTTAAAGTACTTATGGATTTATCCTTTATTTATGATTTGTTTTTAAGTCTATTATTCAGTTAGAGTTATTTTTATATATGGTGTAAGATGAGTTAATGTTAACTTTTATATGAATATTCAGTTCACCTAGCATTATTTCTTGAAAAAAACAATTTCCCTCATTGCATGATGTTAGTGTTTTTTCAAAATTAATTAAAAACTTGTGTGACTCTTTCTCTGTTCTTTGTTCTATTCTATTGATCTATATCCCTATCCTAATGCAGCTACCACATTCACTTGATTAATGTAACTTTACAATATGTCTTCGTATCAGGTAGTAGAAATCTTCCAACATTATTCTTTGTCCTAAAAATTGTTTTGGAAGGGGCACCTGAGTGGCCCAGTCAGTTAAGCATCTGACTTCGGCTCAGGTCATGATCTTGCGGTAGATAACTTTGAGCCCTGCATTGGGCTCTGTGTTGACAGCTCAGAGCCTCCCTCTTTCTCTACCCTGCTATCTGTCTCTCTCTCTCTCAAAAATAAATGTTATTTTTTTTTTAATTTGTTTTGGAAGTTGAAGTGGTTTGCACAAGGCACCATATTAATTTCTACAAAAATACCCCCAGGTTATTTGAATGAATCTTGTTAAATTCACAGAACAGTTTTAGTAGAAATAACATCTTAGTACAGAAATTTCTATTCCATAAAATTGTTATATTTGTCCATTTATCTTTCTTTCTTTCTTTCTTTCTTTCTTTCTTTCTTTCTTTCTTTC